CTCTGTTGCTTCAATGATGAATTATTGCCCACTGTACTGTGCTCTCAGTTGAACTTGTACGATGCGACATCTTTGTTCGGTGCTGTTGTGCTGGCAGAATGTCAATATATTCAGGGTGGTGAATCCCGACTCACGGAGCTGGAGCGTTTTTGAGACATCCTCTCTGATGAAAGTTCTTTGGCTACCTCCATAGATCCCTCCTCTAACATAGCAGGCTTTGTTTCCGTCAATAGCCCATGCTCTGAAGGTCTGTGAAAGCCCCTCAGAATCTTTCGAATCCATGGCAGAGGCGTAAACATTGGTGGTATCGACGGATGGAAGTTGTCTCGGAGCTCCGTCTGATCTGGTGTTGCACATCGAAAACACATGTCGCCCTTTGCAGGAAGTGCATGTTTCTTTCCACAGTTCTGAACGCAATGGCCTCGTACAGTGCAGCGGAAGCATCTCATGTTAGCCATTAATCTGTTTCGTCTTTATTTAATATCAAGCGGATCAGGACAGATTTCAGCGCTGTGCTCTGACGAGCCACAGAAGCAACATTCAGTCGTCGTTTTTGCTGCTGCCTTTGGGTGAAGAACCGCAGCGGTCGGCCTCCTCGAACTTCTTTCGTGCTTTTCATGCACTGGCAGTGCACTCTTCATTGCACGGTCGCCATTAAAACTCCTCTCCCTGCTCTCAACCTCGGTTAGGAGGAACTCAAGCACATTTTTCAGCTGGTCCTCAGCCCTTGTGCTTGCTGTCTGCCCGTGCAGGCATTTCAACTTCCCCGTTAACTTCATTGCTTGCTGCCAGTGAAGGTCGTTTAGAACAGAAAGCTTGTCTGTTGTAGTCGGCAACAATGTCATGCAGCGGCGATGTTAAGATGATCTCACTCATCATGCTAGAGTACTTAGCTGCATTCACTCCAAGACTGCGCAGCCCACGTATGTGCCCCTGAACGTGGTCATATAATTTGCGATGTTCACGCAGGTCACTCGACGATGAAATGGCGGGTAATGCTCGAAGCTTAGCGAGATGGTTTTGTTCGATTTGCCTTCTGTCGCCAAAACGCCATTGTAATATTTCAAGGGCATTCTCATAGCAAGACTGTGGCATTAAGGCCCTTTATTGCGACCAAAGCTGACCCATGCAACAACGAGCGAAGATATTGAAACTTCTCACTTTTAGAAAGGCGCAGGTTGTTATGAACAGCTTGCTGCAACTGTTCCCAACTCATCGTCGAATGTCTCCAAGTGTAGCTTGGGCAACTTCACGCTGTCACCTTGGAGAACAGCTTCTTGTAGATTGTGACTCGTTGGCTGTGCAGCTTGAGGTGCTCCGTTGTTTATATTCAGTGTGCTGAGCTTTGCTTGAACGCAACCGATCATGGCTATGGCCGCGTCATTGCACCTTATGGCCTCGTTGTACTCGGCTTCGAACTCTTCCTCGAGGATCAGCGGCTCCAGCTTGTTGGTTAATCTTCCGCAGCTCCTCGTTGCTGGTTTCTAGGCATAGAATCAAGATGGACAGCTAGCTCTGTGTCCCGTCACGAAGTGCAGGCTCGGCCTCATCAATGATGCGAGAGTTGTGGCCGCATTGTACACGCCTTTTTGCCAGCAGCTTCTCCGAGCGACGATCCATTGACGCACCGTTGGGTGACAACTCACTCAGTCCAAGCGGTCGGAAAATTTGTCGGCTTCGATATTTCTGTCCCTCTATCCTGGGTTTCGGCATCATGTGAACGATTAAAGAAAGACAAAAGTCAAATTTGTTGAGCACCGAAAAAAAACTTATATTCTTAGAGGTTACACATAGAGCACGAAACATCTCAACGTAACGATACACGTCTACCCTCTACAAAATCTGAAGAGTGTCTTCATCTCGCTGGCACGAAGTGGGTCCCCTCTTGTCGACGTAACCGCAAACCACTTTCACAAACACACCACACACAGAACGACGCACTGCTCTTCTTCCATCAACGCCGCCGTCACATGTCGCCCCGTCGAGGCAATATCGATGGCGGTCGAGTGCGGTTTCATGGTTTCAGACCTTTAGGGAGGGCGGACGAGGAATTCTGATGCTTTCCTATAAAAGCTCTGCACTGCGCACATGACTCGGCACATGAAAACAAAATAGAAATACAACACCTTCGACCCGTTTCTTCAGCACCCTATGCACTATAGGGCTGCTTGTATTTTTTTTTCAGTAAAAGGCGGCCACCTTTTGAAGACCTCTTAAAGAAAAGATAGAGACTTAACATGCTTGATGAATTCGCTGTGTGAAAACATAAGTTCTCACATTAAAGTGCACAGCCATACTGGCAACATACTTATGTACGGATGCAGACCTAAATGGTTCCTTGCTGCCAGAGCAATTGACAACACACTTTCATCGACACATCAAAATACAAGCATAGTGTTTTTATGAACTTCCAATCTGCACATATTCAGCTAATTAAATTCTGATGTTTAAATACACCAAAAGCACTATCATTTATCAGTCAAGGTGTAACAAAAATTCAACGTTAACACTGACTGACGACCTACGAGTCTATGGTGTGCAGCTAAACATGAGTAACAACACCCTTACGCATTTCAGCTTGGCTCAAATAAGCCAGGAATTGAAGTCAAAACATCCAGCTAAGTGAAATCGATGGTTTACAAGCATCGCCCAGTCGGAAAAAAGCGTGAGGAACAAACGAAATGAGAGGGTGCCGACCAAAATTAAAAAGCATTAAAACATTGAGAAAATTGAAGATTCAGCTAATTTGTATAACTAAATGTTCAATGTGGACAACCAGGTGCAATTTCGCCCTTGCACAAACACAAGAAATTATGGCAAGACTGCTTCCACAACCAGGCTCTCTGTCAAGCTTTAGGAGGAAAGTTATAGAGAAGAACCCGCTTTCAACAGATCCTTGTCATGGAGGCAAAGCATACCACGGTTTCTGGAGTGCCACTGGTTGACCATAATAGGACATCTACCGTCAGAACCTTCAACACGAACACTCCGACGCGTGGCCTCGGCTCGCTTGAACTGAGGTCAGCGCCACCAAGCGTTGAAAATTATGTGCTTGCTTCACTTAAGGATACAGGTAGCACTTGCCGGTTTCACTAGTAAATTTCTGTTTCCAGTCTGCCTGCCAGCGGGTCGACTGCACTCACTTTGCATCCCGTTTTTGCCACGTTTCGCTCATGGCTACGTTTTCGTGTACCCATGGCATTCGTTGTTGTATACTTATCTCGTCAATGATGCGACAGCTTACGCACTTATTGAGTTTGAATTCGCATGTGCTGCTTGAAAGGAATCGCATGTATAAAAAGAAGAATAAGCACACGTTCATGGCTTTTGCAAAAGTTGCACAATAAATCTGATATGCAGTGGCGCTGTTCATGTTCTGATTTATTAATTTTCAGACAGTGTGAATTGAACAGTTACTACAATTTACAGTGTGTTTTTCGGCTCTGTTCGCGCTGCACGGTAGATGTGGTTTTAGAGCACAACATTTGTGCGAGTAATAATATATAGGGTTTTAACGTCCCAGACGAAATATTTGTTTAAAAGATGACAATTTATGCTTTATGCGATAACTATGCACGAAAATTGGTTTGTTTGCATTGTATCCATGCGTTTTTCATGCTAATAACACGCACAAACATTGCACTCCAAGACATCTTCCATGTAGCGTGAACCGAACAGAAAGGCACACTCTAAATTGCGAGAAGAATTCAATTCACATTGTCTGAAAATTATTGAATCAGAACATGAATAACACCACGGACTTTCAAATTTATTTATTGTGTCACTTTTATTACAAACACCATGAAAGTGCAGTTGCTTTGCTTTTTATACATGTAATTTCTTGGTGCGAATTCAAACTCGAAAGGTAGGTAAGCTGTCCTACGTAATAATTCATTGTCGAGATAAGTATATACTCAATAACGAACGCCTTGGGAGCGCATGTTAATGTAACCTCGAGCGAAACAAGGGGACAACAGGATGCGGAGTAAGCACATTCGACCCGCCGGTCAGGCCGACAGGAAACAGAAATTTACTAATGAAACAGACACGTGCTACATTCATCGCTAACTGCATCAAGCATATCATTTTCAATGCTTGACGCTGACTTCAGTCCAAGCGAGCTGAGGCCAGCATCGGAGCGTCCGTGTTAGAAGTGTTGACGGCTGTACTGCCTTGTGGACCATTACTATGGAGTATGGTTTGGGCTGTGTGCTCTTGGTTATAGTTAAAACAGTCACAGCTGATGATATGGTTTTGGAGGCAGCAAGGATTTCCTCAACAAGAATTGCCAAAGGATGACAACTAGACCAAGCAAATGATCAAACACGGCACTGCACTTGGGCTCTTCATGATTATTCTACACGCACGCTTCAACAAAGCTAGTCACAATACAAACAAGATAGCCCACAAGTCCATATCTTTAGCAACTTGTTAGAGCAGGCTGGTGCATGGCAGAAGAATACACTTATGAAGACGAATCGGTGTAAGTCCGCGCCGCCTTCATCTCTCTCCGCCTGAGGCACCGCTTTGTTCTTATTCGAAATCTTTATAATTTAGACTTAATATTTGTCACTGCTTTCATGCAGATCTGTACGTTCTCCGATACTGTCGGCAGCGACTTACCGACGTTCACTGTGCCGTCACGAAACGAAGAAGGCAGAATTCATTCCTACCGACAGTCGCTAGCATCTATCAAGCATCCGTGGAAAAGGACGCTCTCAGAAATCTCCCACATTCGCCACTTTTCTAAGGCCGAGAATACTACAGCGTGCGAGAGACCTCAAAAGACCTTCTCCGCCCCTTCACGTAAACACCTAGGAGGCGGATTGTTCGCTCTAAAGACGCACGTCCCACGAAATTTCGAGGCCTCGGACTGGCTGAAGAACAAGAGCCCAGTATTTGGCGTTTCTTTAACGAGAAACCTCTGCAGGAAATCGGAACCGGTCGGTACACGGTTTCGCTTTCGCGCGACGTACTGCAAACGACACTGCGCTACTCACCGTGAAGCCATCGCCTTGCTCGGTGCCAACGATTTTGACCGTTTCCGAAGCCTTCATCCACGACTGGACGGGCTGATACAGCGCCATGCTTTCGGCACCAACGTGACCGGCTGAGGGACCGGCGTGCGCACGGAGCGGTACGGAATGCCCGACTGCGGTGCAGCGGATTACGATAATCCCGGAAGTTGACGCCTTGGACAAGGCTGCACACAGTAGCACGTGAGCGCAACCACCGAAATCACGTCACCTTACAGGCAGATACTTGGTCATTGTGCCGATGTCTGAGAACTATCAGCACCCTGTCAGCCAGTTGGCCAAGCTGGAGGCCGCCTCAGGGAACACCTGGCCGCCTGCCTGGCTGCTGCAACGAAAACGAACACGGAGGAACCTTCCCCCGTGAAAACGAACGAGCCAAGATTGTACTGGATGGATGGATGGATTGGTATGACCACCGAACACCTACCAGTGGTAGAGTGTACTAGCATAGAGTAACATAGCAAACGTAAAGAGCAGACACTCTCATTCACGGAGGAAGGAACCTTTTCCTTCCTCCGTGCTCTCATTGAACCATGCGGCCCACATAACTGCTAGCATTCCTAGCGGCCGGCATTAAACTGTCACCAGGTTCCTTTTCCGGCCTTGCCATCGCGTCACAGTGGCTTCAGTTTCGGTTTGAGCATTCTTGTGCGAAAGTCGGGTGTTTCTTCTACTGTTATTCGGGAGTGCTTTCATCAGCAGTTTTTTTAGGGTCAAACAGGCTGCAGTCACGGCTATTGCATATACGTTGTTCTGTTGGCAGTTCTTGCTGGTAAAAAAAAAAAAATACACGCCCATTTTACAAATGAATCGTGTTTATTCAGACAGCACTACTTAACAACCAATAAAAATCAGCTAAACCGGAGTTTTTAGGTAATCCATTACCTCCCTATTGGAAATTCGAGAAATCAATGCATAACGTTTTATAATTATACAAACTGCAGTGTATTTTGCTTTTTCGGAAATAACATTGTTATGTAGAAAAAGCACCATCGCATCGAGCAAGCGATAAAAAAGGTACACAATATTCGAAAGCATATTCATTGTCAACACGAACATTTCAAAACATCAGTAAAAAGTTAAAATGTCGTACAAAATTCAATACTTATTCAATTTATTTGTTTATTTATTCATTTATTTACATGTACTGTTGGTCGATTGAGCCGTTACAGGGGTGGGGCATACATCTAATCATTGTTTGCTTGAAATAGCAAAAAGCATCTTATACAAAAAAGCTAAACAACCCCAATGTGTCATTACATATAGACAGTGAACAAATTCTGACATAATAATTATCATGTCAAGCATAAAAAAGCAATGCATAGGCGAAAAAGATACAACATTTCCCATCACATTATTTTGCTCCACCACCTGCATTATCCATACATCATTCACTACAGAACATTAACCATCAATATACATGTCACGCGCAATTTGTGTGATTCGGTACATTTAATGAAATTTAAAAAAAAAGCTAGCATTCACAAAGATTTACTTACAAAATTTTCTATAGTTCTGAACTCGAATTTTTTAGCGTTTCACAATTCCATACAGTCTTTCATGGTTCTAGAAAAGTAAGTGTATGCGTATGTGTTCATACGAGATTTGGGGATTTGAAAGTTGCTGTGGTAGTCACTTCGTACGTTCTGGACAGGTCGCGGAACGAGGTACTGTGCTACATCAAAGTTAATTGTATTTTGAGAAAGCAAAAGCAAGAATTTTAGTCTGGCTACACGACGGCGTTCCTAAAGGGTGGGTAGGTTTAGTTGCTGCAACATCTCTGTCCCAAAATTAGACCGAGAGTATCTTGAAAGAATAAATCTAGCTGCTCTTCTTTGCACTCGCTCAACTTTATTGATTGATATGTAGGGTTTAACGTCCCGAAACCACCATATGATTGTGAGAGACGCGGTAGTGGTGGGCTCCGCAAATTTTGACCACCTGGGTTCTTTAACGCGTGCACCCATATCTGAGCACGCGGGCCTACAAAATTTTCGCCTCCATCGAAAATGCAGCCATCACAACTGGGATTTGATCCCGCGACCTGTCGGTCAGCAACTTGCTCAACTTGATTGATTAGTCATTTTTGATAAGGGTCCTATATGATACTTGCATATTCTAATGTAGGTCTTACTATAGCTAAATAGGCTATTACCTTTACTGGGTCTTGATGCAAGAATCAGCGTGAATATTCATAGAAGCTTCAAAGAAATCAACATGAAAACCAAAGCTCAATGAGTATTGCTCTAAAGAACAATCTAGCTCTCAGTGCCCACGATAGCAAGGTTATAGCAATGTTTGATGGCGTCGTCCACACAATGAACTCCTACTTCTTGGCCAAAGGTGTGCTGTAGCTCCTTGGCTTCTTGTTTCCGGCGGTTGAGGTGAAATTTAGGGTGGTTGTTTCTCGGGAGATCTCACATGCATCTTCAGGGGAAGTTGATGTCATTTCTTCTCATTACGGTGAAGCGTAGTGGAGCTGTCTCCCTGCTGCCACGGCCAATTTCAGCGGTGGTGAGCCGGCAATTTTGTGATGATAAATGTGCCTCAGTTAATTTATATATGTATGCTTCATTCGTTCGACTTGAACACGAAACCGTAATGCTTAGGAAGATTACCTACAGTATTCTAGGTGTTGCTATCACCATTTTTCCAAAATGTTCTACAACACTAGGGCGCACGGCTGACCCAAGATAGCTAAACAATTAACCCGCTACCACGGAAAGCTATCGCCCGTCAGCGGAAGCCAAAGAGAGTACCTTTCATGCGCCCAGCCGATGCAGGAGAACAGAGCGGAGAGGGCATTATATACAGCCATAGAGTTTTCAATATACACTAGAGGGAACTCTGGCGCTAGTGTCTAAGGGAGATGCAATGTACAGCGCTTCAGCGAGCATGGGAATGATGGGTAGTACACACATTTGTCTAAACTGCGTACTTCTGGCCTGCTCTTGGCTCCGTGTGTGTTCCTGTGGCTTGAAGCTGTTTTCTCACGAAACAAAAATCAGCAAATATTCAGCGATTCCGTTTCACCACCCTATTTTTTTGAATTGCCTTTCCAAATTGGGTCACGAAGTTCAAAAGATTTGAATCTTTCTTTCAAAACAAAATCAAAACACAGCAATAAACGAAGCCGCAAGTACGATTCGCCACCCGCAAGTACGAAGACTAGGCAAATGTCTGTACTATCTCTACTACCCACGGTGGTACTACCCAAGGAGGATTAAAGAAAAATGATACTTTATCAAGCCCCTAGTAAGATGGCCACCGCAGCCGCCATCTCGCCAAAGGAACGGCTTCACTCCTTGGCAATCATTTCTACTCCAGCAACTTTTTAAAATCCTCCTTGGTACTACCCATCATTCCCTTGGTCACTGAATAATCGCAGCGCCAGAGGGCCCTCTAGCAACGCCTCCTCTAGGAAGATGCCTGCGGCATAAGAAGAAAAAAAAAACAGCTGCCACACCCTTTTTCTTCTTCAATTTGAAGATATTCTCGGTGGCTAGCGTCACTTGTGGCGAACGATGCAACAACGCAACACTTAGCATAGCCTCCGAAACAGTGATGCACAGTTGCAGGTCTTGAACAATTCTCGACTGACGCGCCCCTATTGGCCGCAGATGAAAAACACTTGGTACCGCCACGGCCGGACTCGACGCTTTCGACAGTTTTCTTAAAGATCCCGTAACGTGGAGCCTCCGGGAGCAGGCCGTTCACCGTGAGAAGTAGAATGCGAAAGACTGAGATCACTTCGCTCTGTGCACTTCGTGCCAGAGTGCTTTGACCACCTCTTTGACATTGAAGGGAAGCATGTGAAATGGGGTTATGAAGTGGCATTGACGGCACTTCAACGTGAAGAAGGGTTGTGGCTTGGAAACAAACTTACGAAAGTCCACGTCAAATGGGAAAAGCAAGAAAATGAAGGTATGATATGCCGTACAACTGATCGAGTGCCTCAGTTGTCGACGCTTTGGACTTCTGCGAACAAAAGCTAAAGCTGCCGCAATTCAATGGTGCCAGCACAAGATTACGTTTATTAGAACTTTTGGTCGCTTGTTTGACATCTTAAACTCCAGGAACCCGCTGGCAAGGTCGTACAAAGCGCCCCTTCGGCAGGGGAACGGATTCTGGAAGGCGTTTTTTGCGGAGACTCGAGCGTACATAAACGGGCTGAGAGATCCGGCAGTGACAGAAGGACTAAAAAAAACGGATTCATTGGTTTTTTGGATACGCATGGCAAGCACAGAAAGAATGTTTGACAGACTTATCAGCCAGGGTCAGCTGAAATACTTACTGACACACAAACTCAGTCAAGACTATGCCGAAAACTTCTTTGAAACAATACGTGGATGAGGCGGCCATAACAACAACCCAACAGCTTCGCAGTTTATGGCTGCATACAAGCGTCTATTGGTTCAGACGGAAGTCACGTCTTCAAGTTCTGGGCACTGCTCCCAAGATGTTCTCTCCGTATTGAATGCAACGACTTCTGCAGCCATGGTAGATCCAAGAAGCGATCTCACTGACATGCGCAAGGCCTCAGTCCTGCAGCCCGATGAACACGACAATACGCATCGCATTGACTAGCCCGAAAGCTTTTCTGTTTTTGACGGTTCCGTGGTGTCATACATAGCAGGCTTCATTGTTCGAAAAGTCAAACTGCAACTACCTGTGAAGAGTGCACAGCAGCCATGCACTCACATGAGCTGACACCTTTAATTAAATGTAAGAGGCGAGGTGGTCTTGTTTCACCATCGCGAGATGTCATTAGCCTCTGTAAAGAAGTCGAGGACTGAGGCGGCTACAGGCTGAATGTGATTCTATCACAACGGTGAAGTCAAGAGCAAAACACCTCATCCTGAAAGTTCTATGAGCTTCCTCCGAGAAAAACTCGTTCCATAAACTAGAGCAGCACGTCCTAGACTTTGGTACGCTTGATAATCAGGTTTACAGTTTGTGCAGATAAATCGCTGAATAATACGTAAAAGTGAGGATACAACACATGACGAAGGAAAAAAAACGAGAATTGGTCAAAAGTATGGTGGGACCACTTTTAACAAGGGCAATAATTTTCAACCACCAGTAGGGCACCTGTGTTTTCGATGATGTGTTTGCTTTGGGCATCGCTATTTGATGCATATGCACTTAAATCGAGTTCTCTACATGCCACTTGGCTGCGTACAAGTTGCAATAAACATTTACAACCAGAATTACTTGTTTTGTTGCTTTTTAACCACACGAGTCACTTCACCCGCAGCGCGATGAAGCATAAATTTGCAGCGCTCGGCTCTTTTCTGCCACTGGCAACATGGCCGCCGCACGCTCGGCGCGGCTTCACTCTCTCCCGTAGCGGCGCATTGGTGGCTTCCACTCCACCAAGTTTTATGTATCCTTGGTACCGCCCGTCGCCGTAATAATGGATGGATGAATGGATGGATATGGCTGTACCCTTTCGATCGGGCGGTGGTTAGCGCCACTTAGCCGCCACCTAACAT